CCCCACAACAGGCACACATAAATACACACAATTAAAAATAATAAAATAAACTAACCCCTCTTCCACTGTTTGTCCAGCAAAGAGTAGCATCTATTGGCCACTCACTAGTTTAACAGTTTAGTGCAAGGTCAGCAGGGAGAGTCCACTGGGCTCTCAGTTCTGAGAGGTGGCTCTCAGCAGCCCGACTCAGAACATTGCCTGTCTTCCTCCACGTACTGAGGAAAGGTGATCACAGACACAAGTTAGGAGGGAAGCCATGGCTTGGTCGTTATTAACAGACTGGAAAGGGATAATGCGGAGGGCCAATGCTTTCTCCTTTGCTGGTGGCCCTCCCCAGTGAACTATGATGTCTGTTCTGTACCTGTAACCAGGGATCACTCCAGACAAGCTCTAGTTCACCCAAATTCTTCTCTTCCTAAATAGGGTGTAAAGGAAAAATATGATCCAAGATCTGAAAAATAAAGTTATTATTATTATTATTATTTTTTTGGTTTTTCGAGACAGGGTTTCTCTGTGTAGCTTTGCGCCTTTCCTGGGACTCACTTGGTAGTCCAGGCTGGCCTCGAACTCACAGAGATCCGCCTGGCTCTGCCTCCCGAGTGCTGGGATTAAAGGCGTGCGCCACCACCGCCCGGCTAAAGTTATTATTTTTAATGGTGTATATTTATATACATAGTGGTGTGTTTCACAAAGGCATTTCTTTTTCATTTTTTTCTAACATGTGCTTATTTATTTTGTGTGTGCGTGCCTACACACGTCACAGCATATATGTGTAATGAGCCACAGAGGACAGCTTGTGGGAGTTGGTTCTCTCCATCTACTATGTGGGTCATGGGGACTGAACTCATGCCATGAGGCTTGGCTCCAAGTACCTTTATCCACTGAAACGTTTTCCCAACCCTCATAAAGATACCTTCATTCAAGTATACCAAAAACTTTGATAATAGTATTCCTCAATAACTTTCCCTTTTACCCCTTTCTCCCTCCTCTAGTCTCTTCCCCCTTTACCCCCTTCCCATGTGTGTGTGTGTGTGTGTGTGTGTGTGTGTGTGTGTGTGTGTGTGTGTGTAATGTCAAGCTAAGATACACATAAGAGAGAAAATAGCCGGGCGGTGGTGGCGCACGCCTTTAATCCCAGCACTCGGGAGGCAGAGGCAGGCGGATCTCTGTGAGTTCGAGGCCAGCCTGGTCTCCAAAGCGAGTTCCAGGAAAGGTGCAAAGCTACACAGAGAAACCCTGTCTCGAAAAACCAAAAAAAAAAAAAAAAAAAAAAAAAAAAAGAGAGAGAGAGAGAGAAAATATTTGATATTTTTCTTTCTGGGTTTAGTTTTCTTTGCTTAGTATAATAATTTCCAATTCATCAATTTTCCTACAGATGACATAATTTCATTCTTCTTTACAGTTGACTTTATTGTATATGTGCTGTATTTTCTTTATACCTTCGTCTGTTGATGGATGCGTAGGGTGGTTGTGTAACTTGGCATTGGCATTGGATAGTGATATAGTAGACATGGATCCGCAGGTGACTCTGTGTTATGCTGACTTGGATCCCCTTAGAGATATTCCTAGGCATGGTACAGCCGGATCACACTATAGTTCTAGTTTCTATCTTCTGAGGAGCCTGCATACTGACTTCCACAGTGCATGGACTCACTTACACTCCATTAGCAGTAACTAAGGTTCCTTCTCCACTTCATTCTCATCAGCATTCACTGTTGTTGTTTTCTTAATGACGGCCATCCAGCCATCACTAGAGTGTGATGGAACCTCAGTGTAGCTTTGATTCGCCTTTCCTTGACGCTAAAGATGTAGGATACCTTCATATGTTTATGAGTCATCTGTGCCTCAGCTTTTGAGAACAGTTTGTTCATTTCATTTGCACATTTATTGATTAGATTGTGTTACTATTTAATTTTAAAAATTCCTTATGTATTCTAGATACTAGCATTCTATCAGATGTACAGCTAGTAAAGATTTCCCTCCACCAGGTGGCGGGGGGGTGGCGCACGCTTCTAATCCCAGGCAGAGACAGGCAGATCTCAGTGAGTTTGAGGCCAGCCTGGTCTACAGAGTGAGTTCCAGGATGGCCAGAGCATACAGAGAAGACTTATCTTGAAGGAAAAAAAAAGAAAAGAAAAGAAAGAAAAGACTTCCCTCCTTACTATAGGCTGTCCCTCTACTCCTTTAATCACTGTTTTTTGTTACACACTTTTATTGTGTTGAGGCCAATCTATGCTTTTATGTATGTTTGTTTTGTGAAATTGGGTGCATATATTTGGTATATATGTGTTTAGAATTGTTATAGCTTCTTAATGAACTATTTCCTTAATCAATATAAATTGACCTTCTTTATCTCTTCTGACTAATTTTTGTTTAAAGTCTACTTTGTCGGATATTAGTATCTGAGTTCTGTTAAAAAAGAAAAAAAATTTAAAGGAATTGCTCACAAGAGACTGAGAAGTCCTACTTTAAAATTTGAACGTAATTATACACATACAGAAAATTATAATGAAGATATAAAGAATTCATACATTTCACCTAGATACTCAAATATGAAGATGCTCCATAGCCCTGTCCCCTCCCCCACTGTATTTTGAAAATAAATTTGAGGACATAATGGGGTAAAGCCTCATTATTCCCAAATACTTTAATGTGTATTTTCTTAAGATGGTGAATATTCTCTTGTCAAAATTAGGATATTGTCATTGATCTAGTACTTTCGTTTAATGAACAAGCCTTACTACAATTTCACTAACTATTTTACTAATAGCTGTTATACAAAAGAGAGAATATGACCCAGGATCTATTTCAGAAGCTCATACTACATGTTGTTTTCAGTCTTTCATCTTGTTAAACAAACAAACAAGCAAAACCCCAAACCCAGCCAGGTGTGGTGGCACATGTCTTTCATCCCAGCACACAGGATGCCAAGGCTGGCAGATCTCTGTGAGTTCAAGGCTAGCCTGGTCTACATAGCAAGCTCCATAGCAGCCAGAACTACATAGAGTGACCCTGTCTCAAAAACAAAACAAACAAACAAAAATACCACTGAGTAACAAGAGAAATAATAATGTCAAATCAGAACCCCCAAGGGGAGAAGCCAAGCATTCGTAAGTGCAAACTGATAAATAAAATCTCTTCCTGAAAAGAGTCTTAGTCAGTGTTCTATTGCTGTGAAGAGACACCATAAGGAAGGCAACTCTTATAAAGGAAAACATTTAATGGGACCTTGCTTACAGTTTCAGAGGTTTAGTCCATTATCATCATGGTGCTGGAGCAATAGCGGAGAGCTATATCCTGATCTGCAGGCAGAGAGAGAGACAGAGTGAGAGAAAGACACACACACACAGAGAAACACACACACACACACACACACACACACACACACACAGAGAGAGACAGAGAGAGAGAGAGAGAGAGAGAGAGAGAGAGAGAGAGAGAAAGACACACACAGAGAGAAAGACAGAGAGAGAGACAGAGAGAGAGAAAGACACACAGAGAGAAGAGAAAGACACACACAGAGAGAGAGAGAGAGAGAGAGAGGAGAGAGAGAGAGAGAGAGAGAGAGAGAGATGAGAGAGAGAGGAGAGAGAGAGAGAGAGAGGAGACAGACAGATAGACAGAGACAGAGAAGTTGAACCTGGCATGGGCTTTTGAAACCTCAAAGCTCACCCTCAGTGGCATACTTCCTCCAACAAGGCCATATCAACTTGGACAAGTCCACACCTCCTAATCCTTCTCAAACAGTTCTACTCCCTTGTGACTAAACATTCAAATATATGAACCTCTGGAAGCCATTCTTATTCAAACCACCACAATCAGCTAATAAATGTAGAAGAAATAATTGATGGAAAAGAAACTCACCACTTGATATTCATCTTAGTACCAGACAACGTTCATCAATAAATTCTTTAATCTCATAGGTGAAAGATGAATGAGTAATAAGAAATTTACATAGTGTCAAACTTTGTCCCAAATGTATATTAATTCTAAAAAGGAAAACCATAAATTTATATTGAAGAAACAGAGCAGACACTGTTTGTTTGTTTGTTTGTTTGATTGATTGTTTGTTTGTTTGTTTGTTTGTTTGTTTGAGACAGGGATTCCCTGTAGCCCTGGCTGGCCTGGAAATTGCTTTGTAGACTAGGCTGGCTTTGAACTCAGAGATCCACCTGCCTCTGCCTCCCTAGTACTGGGAACAAAGGCATTTGCCAACACACCTGGCAAACTTCATCTTAAGGGATTAGAATTAACTTCAGTAGTTAGACATCAGCAGACAACTGTATCTTTGAGGCACATCTCCCTCAAACCCATTACCTGAATTTAATCCTGAGGAAACATCAGACAAGCCCAGATTGGGGGACAACCTCTGAAATTAGTGGTATATACATGTTAAACCCTGCCTTTAAGAAGAAAATGCGGAGCTTCTCTTTTTTTGGTACACAGGGCTGGTCTGTGGGCATGAGGGTGGTCGAGTGAGGCTCATATTATTCAGAGCAGAGGCCAGCTTTTTTTCTGATCTGCAATGCAATGAACCCTGTTTCCAGGAGATGCTGATGCCCATGCTATGGCTGTAGAGTCAATGACTTTAGAAGGTTTCCTTTCCATTGCAAGATATTTAGCCTGAGTCCTACTCTGGAATTCAGAGTCGAAAATCAAGAACAAATAACAGGAAATATGTCCCAGTGTGGACAACCTTTGGCTCTGGTAAATAAGAACGAAGCAGTCAATCTGAGTGCAGGGAGAAAAGTGAGATTCCAGAATGGCAGTGCCAACAGAGAATTACCAAGTTCAGCATTTCTAGGTGACCTTGCAGTCACGTTCTTCCTTAAAGCATCCCCTGGCTTCTCTAGTGGCACCATCACCGTCCCCGGACAATTCCAGGGGGAAGGTCTGGTGGGATTCCAACCGAAGTGCGTATCTGAGCCCCAAACAGTGAGATTTCTTGACTCCTCTGGGGAGATGGACCTTGAGGACATGCCTCTCGGGTTATATTCTAGTGACCTACGGAATGACAAGCGCTAGTGCCTACTACTACACCAAAGTGATGTCTGAGCTGTTCCTACATACCCCATCAGACTCTGGGGTCTCCTTCCGGACCATCAGCAGCATGGCAGACTTCTGGGATGTAAGTATGACAATGCCTTCCCCCTCTCTCTCCTTCTTAGTAGTCTGAGACACAGGCCAGAGTCCAGGGCGGTCAGTCTGGAACCGGGGAAAATTAAAGAATAAAGCTGGATTAACAGCTTGGACCAGAGTGTGCAGCTGGAGGTTGGAGAGAGATGGGGATGTTGACTGGAGGTTGACTAGCAAGAGCAGGACTAGCGCTTGGGTCAGAAAGGGAAGCTGAACTTCAAAACACAATATTCTAAACTGTATTTTAGTCAAGTTCAGAAGGTCAGCTGTGAGGGTCCAAAAACAGGCAAGTTGAAGGCCAGGGAATGAGGGCAAATGTCATGCACTGGGTTAGGAGGAGGCGGGACCAGGCCCAACCCAGGTTCTGGTCCAGTTTGCTCAGGGCCCACTCCTGGACAGTTTGTACTGGACAAAGTGGTACAACAATCAGAGCCTGGGTCGTGGCTCCCCCTCCTTCATCTACTATGAGAACCTGCTGCTGGGAGCCCCGAGGTTGCGGCAGCTGCGGGTGCGCAACGACTCCTGTGTGGTTCACGAGGACTTCCGTGAGGACATTTTGAACTGCTACGATGTCTACTCTCCGGACAAGGAAGATCAGCTCCCTTTTGGGTCTCTCAATGGCACAGCGTGAGTGAGCCCCTGCCAAAAGCGCAGGGCCACCCCTTTTGAGCTTGCCATCAGCCCAGGGTGTGGGAAAAACTTGTATGAAACTTAAAAACCTTAAGGGTGGGCATCTTAGGAGACTTGGAGACCACTCCCTCAGTCCCAACAATGCCTCTTTGAGGACACACATTTTGGTGTGTGTTGTTCAGGTGTGGAGGAGGCAGGTTAGCAGAAAAGACACGGCCTTGTTCCCACACATAGGCACCAGTTCCACCCTTCCTGGAAGGCAGAGTCCCTTGGGGTGTGTGGCCCATGAATGAAGTTCATGCAGCCGTCCAAGTCATGGTCAGAGAGTTTGACTCCTGGGTCCTGATGCAGGAAGCAGAAAGGGATGGAAGATGGATGAGGGAGGAAGAGAGGAAAGGAGGAGGGTAGGGAGGATGGGAAAGGAGGAGGGTAGGGAGGATGGGAAAGGAGTAAGCAGGAGAGAAATGGGGGTGGAGGAGGCTAGAATAAGGTATCCTGGGGTTGGCCAGCCAGCTATAGAACCACAGGAACTAGAAAACCATTTCTGGATTTATGGCCCAAGTGTTTCCTTCATGTACACTACACAGCCTGGGCCCAACAGTGCATTTTACCTAGTGAAAAAAGGGAGATGCTTACAATTGAGTTTCAGGGATATCACCAGATAGCTAGCTCTCTTGGGATTCCCTGAGTCTCCATTTCCTCTACTGCAAAATATGGGCAGTATTTTCCCTCTCTTTCCAAACAACTGTTAGTAGCAAACAAAATGATATATGTGGAGCATCTATTGTATGTGATATTATGTGCACTATATGTGACATTACATACAAGGTGTATAAGATATGTTTCTCACAAAATTATGTATGTATCACATATAATACATGCACACATATATATGTATAGTGCAGTAAGTATATATAGATACACAATGCATGTGGAACTGTGAAGCCAGGCATTCATAACTGCCTTAGGGGCTGAGTGTTTAGCCTGATTCTGACCTCTTTGCACAGATGGCCTTTTTTCTTCTGCAGGTGGACATACCATTCACAGAGTGAGCTGGGGGGCTCCTCTCACTGGGCCAGGCTTACAAGCTACAGTGGGGGTGGCTACTACTTGGACCTTCCAGGATCCCGACAAGCCAGTGCAGAGGCCCTCCAAGGCCTTCAGGAGGGACTATGGCTAGACAGGGGCACTCGGGTGGTCTTCATTGACTTCTCTGTCTACAATGCCAACATCAACCTTTTCTGTATTCTGAGGTAAGGACCCTTCCCCCACTGTATCTCTTTGTCCACGGTTCCTGGTCCATCTGATGTGATTGAGACCTTTCCTGACCCGGTACCCTGTGGTGGACGTGAAGAGCCAGGGGAACAGGAGGAACTGTCCCAGTCGGGTCCCCACTAGCAATCTCACCTTCCTCACAGACTGGTGGTAGAGTTCCCAGCCACAGGAGGGGCCATCCCGTCCTGGCAAATCCGCACAGTTAAGCTGATCCGCTACGTGAGTAACTGGGACTTCTTCATCGTGGGCTGTGAGGTCATCTTCTGTGTCTTCATCTTCTACTATGTGGTGGAGGAAATCCTGGAAATCCACCTGCATCGGCTTCACTACCTCAGCAGCATCTGGAACATTCTGGACCTTCTGATCATCTTGGTGAGGGATTTGAGACATACTGGAGGGTGGAGAGACCTCTGCTTTGATAGGGGGTCCAAGTTCTTCCTTTTGGAGACTCAAACCCTCCTTTGGACTTAGTGGAAGCACTGTGCCAAATCTCCCCGAGAGAAAGGTTGATGCTCCCTGGCTCAGACTTTGGGAAAACTTGCCCTGCACGTCTCCCCTCCTCCTCACCCATGAATGGGTCCTCCTTTTTCCTTTATGCAAATCTTTTCGGAATCTCTCCTGCCTTTTGTTTTATGACCTGACCTTTTGAGAATCCTACTGTTTCTCTTTTATATTTGAATACTCTGGCCCTTCTTTGTCATCTTCTTCCTACTAACAAGACACATTTGTTTTGTTGTTTTATTTTTACATTTATTTGTGTGGATGTGTGTGCATGTGTGCCTGTGTGTGCAAGTGTGCCTGCGTATGCATGTACACATGCAACAGTGTGTTTGTGAAGTCAGAGGACACCTTATAAGAGTTGGTTCTCTCCTTCCACCATGTGGGTCCCCTGGACCAAACAAACTCAGGTGGCCAGGCTTGGCAGGAAGTGTCTTTACCTGCTGAGCCGTCTCACTGGCCTGTAGACAAATTTCTGAACAGTCCCATCAAATAAGAAACACAGAGCCAAACACAGAGGCAATAGCCAAAGAGATCAGAGAACTAGCGAAGAGCCACGACTACCTTATCTTACCACCTTGCTGCCATTGCTTCCCCCAGAGAGTTTCTTCCCATCTAACTTGTGTTTTTATTGCTTTTCTGTTCTGCCTTCTCACTGACGCTAAGCCGAGCCACATGACTTCCTCGTCACTGCCTGTCTATACAGACCTCCAGATCTCTGTAGTTGGCACTAGGATTAAAGGCTCGTGTCACCATGCTTGATTGTGTCCTTGACCACACAGAGACTCTGCCTGCCATGTGATCAGACCAAGGGCCTGTGCTACCACTGCCTGACTCCTGTTTATGGCTATGTGACCTTGCTATGTGACCTCTGATCTCCAGGCAAACTTTATTTATTAACATACAAATAAAATCACATTTCGGCACAATTAAAATATCACCACACTGGCCCACACATTTATTTCTTTTGACCAAGGCTTGGGAGTGATGGGGATGCGGAGACATCATATTCCTCAGTACCACTTCCCCATAGTTCTTTACAACCTTCCTATTTCCTATGGCCCCAAAGCCTTCTCTTGGGCTGTAGGGAATTTATGCTGCTCCCTGGTCACCCACGCTGTTCCATCTGGACCTCAGTTAGTGAACATCTCAGCAGAGGATGTTCCTTGCCCCAGCTCTCCTCTGGGAGCTCATCTTTGAACTTCCCTTAAGGTTCCTTTGACTTCTCTGACACCCCCCATGACTCCTGTGTGGCAGCTCTCCGTTGTGGCCGTGGGTTTCCACATATTCCGAACCTTGGAAGTAAACCGACTGATGGGAAAGCTCCTGCAGCAGCCAGACACTTACGCAGACTTTGAGTTCCTGGCCTTCTGGCAGACACAGTACAACAATATGAATGCAGTCAACGTTTTCTTTGCCTGGATCAAGGTACCCGGTCTTGCCTCCCACCTCTGCCCCAAGGCTCTCACTTACCTTCCTCCACGTGGCTCTCGTTTTTTGGTCTGATTTGGTACCTCCTGGGGCCTCCATCGGTCCCTGGAGTGTTCCATGCTTTTCACCTTTTCTCTTGATTCTCCGTGACCCTTGCAGATCTTCAAGTACATCAGCTTCAACAAAACCATGACCCAGCTCTCCTCCACACTGGCTCGCTGCGCCAAGGACATCCTGGGCTTCGCTGTCATGTTCTTCATCGTCTTCTTCGCCTATGCCCAGCTTGGCTACCTGATTTTTGGGACCCAAGTGGAGAACTTTAGTACTTTCGTCAACTGCATGTGTGTGTCCTGCCCCCCGCCCCTGGGCCCCTCTCTCTCCAGCTCCCAGGGTGTGTGCAATTTGGGGAAGAGAGTCACGTGTATGGGTGTGTCAATGCTTAAAGTTTCTGAGAGTGCCCTAAAGTTCAGGTTTGTGCTCAAGTCATTTACAGGACATCTCTGTCTATGATATCGCATTTATTGCATTAGGTGCAGTGAGGGGTCTGTTTGTGGTTGGGAAAGTGGGATGGGGTATGAATTGGGGCAAATGTTTGTCTAGGCTCTGGGTGAAGCCCTGATCTGATCTCTCAGTTTCACTCAGTTCCGGATAATCCTTGGGGATTTTGACTACAATGCCATCAACAATGCCAACCGAATCCTGGGTCCTGTGTACTTCGTCACCTATGTCTTCTTCGTCTTCTTCGTGCTCCTGGTGAGGGTCCTTCTGAGGGCTGGGGACAGGAGGGCCTCCAGGTGGGGCTTTGACCCCACGGGCCTCCCACTTAGGATTATAACTGGTTTCTCACAGCATGGGGGACAGTGTGTGGAGGTGGAGTTCTTTTGGGATTTCTGAGAGCTGGTTAAGGTGACAATGACACCAGATGGCGGTAGTGTGAGGGACATAAAGGAAACTGTGCATTCTCCCGGGAAAACCGACTTCTCATCTTCCAAGGATAGAAAGGGAGTGGGGAAATGCCTCATGAGGAGCAGGAGAGACCGCTAGAAGCCTCTGTGCCTGTTCTCCAAGAGGCCCTTTCCTCTGTGGCATTCATGATGGTTTGTTTCTATTGCCAGTGTTTGCCGGTAGTTCTCTCTTGCCCACGGGGAAATATCTGAGATTTATTTTCTAGATTTATTTATTTTATGTGTATGTGTTTTGCTTATATGTGTGACGTATGCATATGCAACATGTGTGTGCCTGGTGCCTGCAGAGGTTAAAAAAAGAGTTGAACTCCCTAGATTTGGAGTTCCAAATGGCTTCGAGCTATGGCATGGGTGCTGGGAACTGAACTATGGTCATCTGTAAGAGCAACAAGTGCTCTAAAGTGCCAAGCCATCTCTCCAAGTCCCTGAGTGTGGTTTTTATTAATATAAAAGGAAAGTATCCTTATTTGATTAACTGATGGAGACACAGGCATGGGATTGGGATCAATGGTAAAGAAGAGAGCACGTTTGTGCTTTCACATGGAAAAATGACAACTTCAGTGATTGGTGGGCCCTTGTGTAGGGGAGGTCCATGGCATATGTTGGGATATCTTGGTGTTTAGCAAGGTCACTGCAGCATCTGAGAATGAACCTCAGGCAGATGAAGGGCCATGATCTGTCCTTAACAGAAAGGACAAAGGGTGGACTTTCAGGCTCTTGAGAGGCAAGTATGGGTGGCCTGCAGTGCTGAGATTGAGAACATTTTTTTTTTGTTTGTTTGTTTTGGGTATTTTTTGTATTTATTTATTTATTTATTTATTTTTCGAGACAGGGTTTCTCTGTGTAGCTTTGCGCCTCTCCTGGAACTCACTTGGTAGCCCAGGCTGGCCTCGAACTCACAAAGATCCGCCTGGTTCTGCCTCCCAAGTGCTGGGATTAAAGGCGTGCGCCACCACCGCCCGGCTTGTTTTTTTTTTTTTTTTTAAAAAAAAAACAAAAAACATGTGTGTGGGACATAGAGTAAGAAGGCTCAGTGCTTTTAGTGGGGTTGAAGGTGAAAACCTGGGTTACAAGCCAGGCATGGTGGTGCACACCTTTAATCCCAGCAGGGGAGGCGGAGGCAGTCAGATCTCTGTAGGTTCGAGGCCACACTGGTCTACATAGCAAGTTCTAGGATAGCCAGGGCTACACGGAAAGATCCTGCTTCAAAAAACCCATGTCCATACTTTTTCCTTTAGAACATGTTCCTGGCCATCATCAATGACACATACTCAGAGGTCAAGGAGGAGCTGGCTGGCCAGAAGGATGAGTTACAGCTTTCTGACCTCCTGAAACAGGTGACTCCTCAGTGTCTTTGAGGAGCATGTCTCCCTCTGGGTTTGGCTCCAAGGTGCTGCGCCATGGTAGTGTGTGTTCTTGCCTGGTGCAGGCAGATGTCTGTGTTCTTGAGAGCCTTTGACTTGCTCTTGGGGGCTTGAGATTTTTAGGTGGAGGTGGGCGGCCGATGGCCGTGAGGACCATGTGGGGACTCCTGCCTGCTCCCTTTCCCTTTCAGAGCTACAAGAAGACCCTACTAAGGCTGCGCCTGAGGAAGGAACGGGTTTCAGATGTGCAGAAGGTCCTGAAGGGTGGGGAACCGGAGATCCAGTTTGAAGATTTCACCAACACTTTGAGGGAGTGAGCAACTGGAGATCCAACCTTATTTGAAATTAGTCTAATTTGTGACCTTCAACTACACATCTTTTGCTGATAAGCCTTGATCTCTGGGCCTGTGGTCTTGACTTATGGCTCCTGACCTTGACTCATGGGTCTTTCTAATCCTGACTTTCAGAATTATGACCTTGCTTTCCAGATCTCTGACCATCATCTATATATATTCTGGACCTTATTCAACAACTTTTACGCCTAATGTAACAGTGTAATTATCCTATTATTATATACACCCCACCCAAATTATCGGGCAAATATATTGTGAGGACCATCTGTGGATCAGGCTTGAGTAGGGGATGACACAATTAAATGAGGCAAAAATCTTTGTCTCTTAGGAGCTCAAAGGCATGTAAGCAAATAAGCCAAGACAGACTAAGTTCAAGAACAGCAGTGACTTAAAGAGAGGGAGGCATGGAGTAAAAAGAGCTATCAATCCCCTTTGAGATTAAAGGAAGGCTTCCAGGAAGAGGTGATGACTGAAAAGGATTTTAAAGAATACCTAGCTTACACATGGACAAGCAGAGGAAGGCCAGTGTGATAGCTGAGCACCGCTAAGATATCAAATGAATGGTGAGTTATAGGGGGAATCGAGGCCATGGCCAAAGGCCATGTTGGGAAAGACCTTCAACATCACCACTGTATCCAAGGAATTGGGTGCCCAGGAGGGACTTTAAAGCAAGGAATTGGTGCTCTTAGATGTGTGTTTTCTGTTACATTTTATTGCTTTGGAGTTTGGTCTCACTTTAGTACCCAGGTTCACCTCGAACTTGATTTGATTCTTCCTCTAGCCTCAGCCTCCCAAGTACCTAAGACTTGTAGACATCTTCCACCATGCTCAGGTATTAAACCTGCATTTTAAAATGTCAGTTATTCTCTTTATGGAGGATGGATTTCAGGAGTAGCGAGTGTAAGGGAAGCTAGAGCTGTGGGGGTAGCAGCAGGCTATCTAGGAGCCTGTGTGAGATCCTGAGGGAGCCTGTGTGAGATCCTGAGGGCCTAACCCAGCCAACAAGAGTCAGGACATGAAGAAGTGAAAGAACTTGTTGGGGGTAGAATCACTGGACTCTGAAGATCCTGGCTTTCCTGTGTGACCCTCTTCTTCCCCAGAAAGCAAGACCCAGAGATCAAGACTCTTACAAGAGTCTAGTAAAAGGGCAGGGAGACCATGTTTGAGTGATTATGGTTACCTCATTGCCTTGTTCTCCTTAGACTGGGGCATGCAGAGCATGAGATATCTGAGCTCACGGCTGCCTTCACCAAGTTTGATCAGGATGGGAATCAGGTTCTGGATGAGAAGGAGCAGGCACAGATGGGACAAGATCTGGAAGAGGAGAGGGTAAGTAAGCAGGGCTGGGTGATAGGGAGGAAGGATGAACACATTGCTTACTTGTCCTCCCTCTCCAGCATACCCAAGATAAACCCTCCCAAAAATGAGCAGGAAAGAACTCTCTAGAACAGTGGTTCTCAAGCTGCTGCATATTAAATATTCCAGAGAGCCTTTAAACAGCTGCACTCTTCAGGCCACATATCCTAGACCAATTAGATCAGAAGCTCTGGGTGGTAGGGCTGAAACATTAGAACTTTCTAAAATTTCCAAGGTGATTCCAGCACGTAGCCAAGGGTCAGAACCATTGCTTTGCAAAAGGGACCAGTTCCCAAGATCTTCCCTGATGATCCTCTAGAAGAATCGTCGTGAGCATTGCTCCCCAGGTCTTTCTAGAATGTGCTCCCTAACTGAGTGGGAAATAAGGTGGATTCCAGCTGTAAAGAACTCAGAGGACGCAATTGAAATTGATCCTACTATACCTGCTCCATCCCTATTCAGTGTAGGTCACAAAGTTCAAGGGCAGTGCAATCAGAGACAGGGAATGACAACAACAAGAAAGGGGGCCCAAAGAGACTGTGAGCCTGTTCACAGCAGAGGACAGATTAAAGCCTCCCAGAATCAGGGCTGGAGAGATGGCTCAGCACTTAAGAGCTCTGGCTGTTCTTCCAGAGGTCCTGGGTTCAATTCCCAGCACCCACATGACAGCTCACAACTGTCTATAACTCCAGTTCCAGGGGATCTGACACTCTCACACCAATGTACATAAAATAAATTTAAATAAATTATGTATAAAAAAGCTTCCCAGACTCATCTTATCCCCTCTAACATACATCTTCCCAATCAGGTGGCCCTCAGTGCTGAGATTGAGAACCTAGGCCAGTCCATTGGATATAGCCCAGCAGGTGAATTGGGCACAGAAGCTACGAGAGGAGGATGCTGGGTTTCTGGAGAAGAATTTTACAAGTATGTGGAGGCAGAGACCAGGGATGGCTGGCTGTGACATCTCTGCTTGAGAATCTTTCCACACCTTCCCAATTCCCTTTCCTAGTCCAGGGGGGATTTCTGTTCCCCTGTGATTCTCCCTTCAAGGTTGGGCCTCATCTTTCTCATTCCCATCCAGACAAGCACCATTGTATTATCTCCAATACATACCCCTGTGCATATCCAGAGACATATTTCTGCTTCCTTTGTCTCTCTCAAATCCTACACAGGCTCACAAGGAGAGTTCTGCAGGTGGAGAGTGTTCTGGAAGGAATTGTGTCCCGGGTTGATGCTGTGGGTTCAAAGCTGAAAATGCTGGAGGGGAAAGGGGACCTGGCTCCCTCCCCAGGAATGGTGAGTACCCTTCCGCTGCATCTTCTGAGTTCTTTACAGCTGGAATCCATCTTATTTCCCACTCAGTTAGGGAGGACATTCTAGAAAGACCTGGGGAGCAATGCTCACAATGGCCATAGATCAGCGGAGGTGGAGGGCAGGCCCAGAGGTTGCTTAAGTCAGTCTATAGATTTCCTTGACCTTTGAGGAGGGCCTTTGTTTTAGTTTTTTCGAGTTGTTATAATAAACTATCAAAGATTAGATTGCTTATAAACAATGGAAATGCACTTTTCAGAGTTTGGGAGGGTGGGAGGAGTCTAAGACAAGGTACCAGCAGGTTCAGAACCCTGTGAAAGCCTCTTTCTTGCTTCACGGACTGCTCAATTCTTGATGTGTTCTCATACGGCGGCAGGAAAAAAAGGGCACTAATCCCCTTTATAAGGGCTCCACACTCATGACCTCATCACCCAGCAAAGCCCTCATTTTCTAGTACTGTCACACTGGGGATTGATCATGTCAGCATAAGACTTTGGGGAGACACAGACATTAGTCTATAGCAGTCTAGATTCTCTGTAATTAGATTCAGAGAAAAATTAATCACTCCTTCAAATGAGCTATTCCTTTTTCTTCCAGCAGGAGGAGCTAGCTGTTTGGAAGAACCTATAACCAGTCCTAGTTGTCATTTCAACCCCCTTGGGAGTCCAGGGTGGGCAGGAGAATGGAAGAGATCCCCAAACATCAGACAGCAAGTTCTCTCTCTATGCCTTCCCAGAAGCCTCTTCTCCATGTACCCCCCACTTCTAGGGCATCATGTCTTATGACAGCTGCTGTGGAGTCCCACCCTGTATCTGTCCTTTTGAGCCAGTGTTTTTGTGTGTAGCTGGGCAGCATGTATAGGCTTGGCCCTTGGTGTTTCTGTATGTAGTCACACAGCTCTGAAAAGTAGCATTTCCTACCTGGCTTCTCACTTGCTGTGCATTTACTTCTGCCATAGTGATTAACATCAATATAAACAAAAGGAAGAGATGGCAATGACTCTCCTGAAGAACTCAGACAGCCATGATTGGTCAAAAGGTAGAAGCCCAAAGAGTAGGCAATGGATATGTCTCCCTACTTTGCAGTCAATCATACTCTTCTCCTATGTGTGTCTAGAGATCTGCCATTGGCACGCATGGGTGTGTGGAGGGGGTTTTCTCTTCCCCTATGAAGTTTCCCTGTAAGAGAGGAAAGGAAGCCCTGGGGGAAAGTAGACTCTTGTGTGGTGAGATTCCAACAGAGGAGTTAAGAGGGACACCCTCAAAGGTGAAGTCAATGCAGGCTCTGCTGGAGGACCCCACCCTCCGATTCTGATGTTCCACTGAACACATAGAACCAACCAAGAGGACTTCAAACCTGGAAACAGAACCCAAAGGGAATCAGGGAAGGAAGTGATGTCAGGGTTCAGGGAAGGAAGTGACGTCAGGGTTCGTTGATCTTTGGACTAATATTATGTGGTGGTCTCTGACTCTGTTCATCATAGGACAACATGGGGTTCCAAGGTGACTATCAATAAAATCCTTTAGAGAACAGGTCTTTGCATTTGCTTCTGGGGTTATAGAGAGAAGACAGGAGGATAGAAACGTAAGCTACTCGAGTGCACTCTCTGGAAGGTACAAGAGTGGGAGCCAATCAATGTCAAGGAGTTTGGCTGTCCCAGGAGTCTTGAAATAAGAAGCTCTGGCTCATAGGAATGCTTGAAATGGAAGATACCATGATTACCACAGAAAAGAGTGGAGATGAAGCACCTAGGGAGGATGAGTCCTGCAAGGAGATAGGTTAGGAAGGCTGGGGAGAGGGGTATCTGTAATGTGTGTGTGTGTGTGTGTGTGTGTGTGTGTGTGTGTGTGTGTGTGTGTATGTGTGCGCGCGCAGGAACGAGTCGGTGAAGGATTACTAAGAATAAGACAAGAAACTCTTACACCAAGGTTTTGGATGCTCAGGAGCCTGCATCCTGAAAATTCATACCGCTTCTCCCTCTCCTGTGAGCCCATTCTCCTGCACCTCCCATTGCTCCTCAGTACATCTTCTCATTCAAACCCTTCACTCATGCTTGTTTTCACACCCTGCTGAATATTCCATAAACCTAAGAGACTTGTGCAACAACTAAATACAATCAAGAAAACCAATGTGTCAACTATGATGAACATTCATAGAATGTTCCTTCAAGAAAGGCGCTTTCAATTAAACAGCATTAGGAACTAGCTTGCAGTTTAAGAAACACGAGTCAGAGAGTTGATATTAATCCAAGGCTTGTGGGAAGGGGAAAGGAGAGAATATTTAGGATCAAGAATCAAGGCTGAAAGCTTGTGGGAGACAACTTGCAAAAGCATGGATATTCCCTGAGCCATTCTTTGGTGAGTGAAACACGTCAGGGTTCTAGAGTCTTGGGAGGAGGCGCCTATCTTCAATAACTCCAGCTGACAAATTATGGGTCCACTGTGGGGCCACCACCAAGACAGGCTGAAGCCAGGTGACAGTTCTAGGGTATGGCCGTAGAAATGAACGCATCTTCAACACCAGGTACTGTGATTCTCATCAGCGGGTTGAGTCACAATAGCCTGGCTTAGCTTCCGTTTCGCCTTCATGCTTGGCCCTTTGATAAAAGGTCATTACTTGAGGCGTGACTCAGTCAAGATGAGCAAAGCCGGGAGGGTGCGAGCGCGCGCGCGGCGGGCCGGGGCGGGGCGGGGCGGGGCGGGGCGCTCGCGGGGCGCACGCGCAGACGCTTCGGAACCGGAAGCGGAGTTGGGCCGGGCATGGCGGCGGCTGCGGAGGGCGTCCCTGCGACGCGACGCGAGGAGCCGGCTAGAGGTACTACCCGGCGTGGATGGAGATGAAGCGGCTAGTGGGGGGCTGGGTCCGGATGCAGGCGCGGGTGCACCTGTCGGCCTCGTCGGGGCACTGAGATGAAGGTCTGGCCCCTGAGCCAGGGAATGGAGTTGGCGATTCAGGTGGGCGAGTGCGAGGTGGGGGGGCTTGAGAGCACGGCAGGTGGAGAGCGAAGGCGGCTCGACCGCATGAGCACAGGTCGGGAGGGACGTAGGAAGAGTTGGCTTTGGCTGGGTTAGATCTGGGTATGGAACATTTACGCACACACACACTCCCACCCCGCCCTCCTTCACTCCCTGGACCAGATGATGCTGCGGTGGAGACAGCCGAGGAAGCAAAGGAGCCCGCCGAAGCTGACATCAATGAGCTCTGCCGAGACATGTTCTCCAAAATGGCCACATACTTGACTGGGGAGCTGACAGGTGAGACGCCATCCTGGCTGATGCCGGTCCTGCAGTTGTCGCGTTTTCTCTGCAGAAACCTGAGAGGTGCCGTAGCGGCGCCCGTCAGTGGTTGAATGGGAGGAAAAGAGCCCCACCCCTTCTTTCCCTAGGGTAGCTCAGGACCCACTTTAGAAACGCAAATCGTAGGCCTCTTCTAATGTAGTAAGGACAGCTAACAACAAAAATTCGGCACTATTAGTCAAGAAGTGCCTCCCTAGGGGAGGTGTGTTTTAAACATGATTGTGAAGGAAATGGAAAAGGGGGAAATGATACAATTAGTAAAAGAGTTGGGATCAGCAATCAATTTGATTAGGCCAGTAGGTTAGTGTGACGATTTGGTGATCCGCTCTTGGGACACAGTTAGATTCAGTTCAGTGTGCCTGCACTCTGTGTCTGTGTATGAGGTGGAGTTAGAAAGTGGAGTCTGTTGTAAGCACTTACATGGTTTTGCTTCTCCAGAATTTTTTTTTAAATCACACTTACTTTGTGTTTGTGTGTGTTTGTGTGTATACACGCACTCAAAGGTCACATGACTACTGGTTATCCCCTACCATGTAGGTTGGGAGTACCACACTCAGAACTGCAGGCTTCATAGCCAGTGCCTTTACCAGGTGAGCCTTCTCACAGGCCCCACCTCCAAAAATTGTCTGGGATTTTAATTTGTGAACCAGAGTCTATAAGAAAAGGCTTAATAGAGATGTTGAGGGGTTGTAAGTCACTGATGTATCAGCCTGATTATTCATTTATTTTTGAACAAGAGAAACCGAGTAGCAAAATTTAGATTTGTGGGTTATCTCTGCAGATTCTACAGATTTGGCAATAGTAATTTAACCATTTCTTGAAGACTTTTTTTTTAAATCTGTCTAACCAGTCACTAAAGCTGTTATGTTGTTATAAACTACATAACCTTCTTCAGTGCTCACAGCCCACAGGTCCCTACCTGTGGCAGTGGTTTAAGACTAGTTTATTTTGGCATGGGTCCACTATGAGGAGCCCACATGGAAGCGCCCACCATTAATCCCAGCCTATTTTGGCAGACTTTTAAAAAGACGGTATGATTTGGTTTGTTTTCACTACTCGCTGGTTCCTCTCCTTTAGTGTGACTGAGTGTCCTTTGCCATGTTCTTTTACTCTTGTTTTTCATTTGTTGCAGTTTAGAAATGGTTTTCTGTACCAGTGCCTTAAAATTAGTAAACAGGGTGCTGGGCTGAGAGGGAACATATTCCTCGGTGGAAGTGAATGATTTCCTTGTGCTTATTATATAAACTCTTGCATCACTTCGTTCACATTCTTTTGCTGGCGTCCAAGCGTGTGGCCCTTGTTTTAGAGATTATTATTTGATAGCGGCGAGAGGGCAGATGTGGAGGAGAATAGGAACAGAGGAGCAGTTGTTCAGAAAGCAGTGGGAGTCTGAGGCAAAGTGCAGAGGTAACAAGGATGAAATGGAGAGTGTGGGTGTGAGCACATGACAGCAGGGGACTCCACAGGATCTGCTGAGGTGAGTATTGAGCAGCCTAAGATACTTGTGAGGTTTTCAGTGTGCATGGGACCATCAACCAAAATAGGGAAGCTGAAAAGAGGAACCATGTTTATGTGGGAAACTGTTTCAGTTTGGGCTTGACTGTTTGTAGCTGTTACTGAAATGCTTGGGTGGGTTATCTGAAGATACTCAGGTGCCTCGTGCATGTGAGTCCAGAGCTCAGAGACTGATCTTTGCAGGGAGGCATCATGTGGAGGTGGAGGCTATGCAGAACAGGATTGCCAAGGAAGAGCTCACTGGTGGACCTCTTAAGGGCCTAGACTGACATCAGGAGATGGAGCAGTTCATTGTGAGTTGCTAGGGATTGAACCCAGGGCTTTGCATATACAAAGCCATTGCTCTGTCTAGTAAGCTACATTTGCAGCCCCAAATAATTTTTGTAGATAATTACTTAAAGTTCCAAAGATTCTAAGTGATTATAAAACTAAGTTAAGCCAGTGTTATTTCTCCACTATGGTCATTCTTACTTGTACAAATGCTTTTTGAGAAGAAAGATTTTAATTTACTAATTTGTGTGTGTGTGCGCATGTGCAAAATGCATGCACATGCACACGCATGTCACAAGCCCACACATGCATGTGTATGTAGTTACGTGCCATAGTTCATGTGTGGAGGTCGGAGGACAGCTTTTGGGAGTCAGCTCTCTCCTTTCACCATCTGGGTTCCAGGGACTGATTGTTTTGAAAGCATGAAGACCTGAATTTGGGGGAGGTAGAAGTAGGAGGATTCCTAGAACTCACTGCCAGTCTAGCAAAATTGATGAGCTCCCATTTCAGTGAGAAATCTTGTAGGGAAGAAATAAGGTGGATAGCAATTGAGAAAGACCCATTGACCTCTAGCCTGCACACACCTATGTACACACACACACACACACACACACACACACACACACACACACACACTAGTTGATGCCATATATGCACATACACATATGTGCATAGAAGGTTTGTCTCTCTAGTTGATGATGTATATAATATGATAAAAACCTTTAAATTATATATATATTTGGGGTTTTTGTTGTTGTTTTTTTTGTTTTTTAACTTGAGACAGTGTTTCCCTGTGTAGCCCTGGCTGTCCTGAAACTCACTCAGAGATCTGTCTGCCTCTGCCTCCCAAGTTCTGGGATTAAAGGTGTGTGCCACCACAGTATATATTTTTTATTCTATAGAAGTACCAGGATTATTATTTCCCCTCTCTTTTCTTTGACATGAGTTTACCATTTTCTAACTATGACACAAACTCTTCTAGACATTGCTTAGTTTATTTTGTTGATTGCTGCCTCAGTTTCTACTTAGATATTCAGGTTTTAAGCTAAGTATAAATGTCACAGATTGAAAGTAACCTGGGGGTCCTCCCTTAAACTTCTATATTCCCTCCCTGAACTCCTTCGACCTAAAATTCTGTATTCCAGTAATTTCAGACAAACCCTAAAGGCATCCCATTCTCTGTTTATTTTTTAAAGCCACCAGTGAAGACTATAAACTCCTGGAAAATATGAATAAGCTAACAAGCTTGAAGTACCTTGAAATGAAAGATATTGCTATAAACATCAGCAGAAACCTAAAGGACTTAAACCAGAAATGTGAGTACAAATTTCCATCACACGAATAAGTACTGCTTGTACTTAATGTTTTCCAGTGCTTGGGGAACAGGGTATTCCTGCCTCCTGGGAGCTCCTGTTCCAAAAAGCATTACCAACCAAGGGGTATGTCTTCCA